TTGTCAACTGATGTTCAGCTGTTCTTTAACTTTACCAGCGGGTGTCGCTGTTGGACAGTTACTTTATAAAAACTAGTGACACTTACACTTTTTAAATGTCACATTTTGAAATACTTGCGTTGTTTTATTTGTAATATAGATAATTTTCTCATCCATTTTTTTTTTTTTCTCTAAAGAGACTCTGCCTCCTTTGCCTTGACCGATGGCAGAAGCCGTACAACACAAACATCAGAAATTCATTCATCTTCAATTATGATCCTTGCGACTTTGAGGTTATTTTGGCAGGTTATTTTATATTCATTTCATGCATGCAAATTAAAACTGATGAATGGAAATTGGGCAGTTCAATTAAGTATAGAATTTTTGTAACGGCTACAAAAATGTGGGAATGTTTTTGTATTACAATTTGTATAGCCACAGTTTTACTACAAATAGCATGCTTAAACTATGGTGTGTGCAGCAAAACGTTTTAACTAATAACCTTTATTTGTTGCAAAACCATGTGTAATATTCATAAGTTTTGTTGCAAACAATTTTTACTGTTATTTTATAATGAAACCGTAGTAATACATTTATAATTTACAGAAAGCATTCATTGTTAGAAAAGAATTTATTGTAATGTAAATGCTCTACAAGTTTGAGGCATTAATTGTAACATTAGTATATACACCAAATATTTTGACCATACTTCTTTCACAGCAGGAAAACATTTTCTGAGACACCAGGGGCCGGTTGCAGCAGCTAGACATAACGCTGGGTGTGAGCCCTACGCTGGGCTTTGCAACGTCCAGCTTTACCATAAATATTTACACCTGTTGCACCAACTGAAACTACCATCAGGCGCAGCTACGCCACGCCGACACAATCTCCCGCAGTTATAGATATAGCTGAGACGACGTTCACGCCGCAATGGCTACAACTACTAATATAGAACTGAACTGCTCAAGACATCAATATAATATTTGACTGCATAATTACTACATGCTTGACAGAAATAGATTTTGTATTCAATGTCGACAGTGTGGTAGGCCTACACAGAGCTTCGCGATGGATATCGCTTATCCTGCCCGAAAACACCATAAACATAGCAGTTCACCGCTGCTAACAGACATGAATACTAAAAATGAATAATGTCCGAGCAAATCATGACTTTTCACTTTAGACCTACCTCTGACTAGGAGTAAGATTTAGTCTCAGATGTAGCACTACGCCGAGATGGTGCAACCAACCGGCCCCAGGACCGCAGCGGACTGGTGCTGTAACAAATTGAAATGGATTTTATTTTATTTTTTAATTTATAATGCATACCAACAAGCAGATGAGCACCAAATTAAATCCCTACACAAAGCTGCGTGGGCAGAAAGTTCTCCAGCGGAACAGTTCACTTCTTCCCGGTTTGTGAACAGATGGGACTGTAAGAAGCTCTGCACAGAACTTGTGGATAAACACACGTGGGCTACGGTCGGGCTAAGAATTTTTCATCCTTCAGGATCCAACAGTTCACTGTATAATTTGTATAGCCACAGTTTTACTACAAATAGCATGCTTAAACTATGGTGTGTGCAGCAAAACGTTTTAACTAATAACCTTTATTTGTTGCAAAACCATGTGTAATATTCGTAAGTTTTGTTGCAAACAATTTTTACTGTTATTTTATAATGAAACCGTAGTAATACATTTATAATATTTACAGAAAGCATTCATTGTTAGAAAAGAATTTATTGTAATGTAAATGCTCTACAAGTTTGAGGCATTAATTGTAACATTAGTATATACACCAAATATTTTGACCATACTTCTTTCACAGCAGGAAAACATTTTCTGAGACACCAGGGGCCGGTTGCAGCAGCTAGACATAACGCTGGGTGTGAGCCCTACGCTGGGCTTTGCAACGTCCAGCTTTACCATAAATATTTACACCTGTTGCACCAACTGAAACTACCATCAGGCGCAGCTACGCCACGCCGACACAATCTCCCGCAGTTATAGATATAGCTGAGACGACGTTCACGCCGCAATGGCTACAACTACTAATATAGAACTGAACTGCTCAAGACATCAATATAATATTTGACTGCATAATTACTACATGCTTGACAGAAATAGATTTTGTATTCAATGTCGACAGTGTGGTAGGCCTACACAGAGCTTCGCGATGGATATCGCTTATCCTGCCCGAAAACACCATAAACATAGCAGTTCACCGCTGCTAACAGACATGAATACTAAAAATGAATAATGTCCGAGCAAATCATGACTTTTCACTTTAGACCTACCTCTGACTAGGAGTAAGATTTAGTCTCAGACGTAGCACTACGCCGAGATGGTGCAACCAACCGGCCCCAGGACCGCAGCGGACTGGTGCTGTAACAAATTGAAATGGATTTTATTTTATTTTTTAATTTATAATGCATACCAACAAGCAGATGAGCACCAAATTAAATCCCTACACAAAGCTGCGTGGGCAGAAAGTTCTCCAGCGGAACAGTTCACTTCTTCCCGGTTTGTGAACAGATGGGACTGTAAGAAGCTCTGCACAGAACTTGTGGATAAACACACGTGGGCTACGGTCGGGCTAAGAATTTTTCATCCTTCAGGATCCAACAGTTCACTGTATACGGGTAAAAAAAAAAAAAAAAAAAAAAATTACCTTTTTTGCCATTTCAGAAAGCATCAGAAAGTCATTCTATAATCATTGTCAGCCTCTGCTGTTTGTACTGTAAAACTATAGTACTTTGTCTATTGAGAGAGATATATATATATATATCCTAGACATAAAAAGTATGGAAAACAAAACATGACAAAAACAGGCTACTGCAAGTTAAATTAAAGTGTACAGAAAACTAAAATAAAATGAGATGTAAAATATTGAACCACTATAAATGTGTATTGTACCTTTTATTATTAATTGTTGTCGTTTTTATTAATTGTTGTTGTTACTTTATTAGGTTTGAGTTATTTTAATTTTATTGATAAATGTGGCCTTGTCAACCATTTTAAATGAAAAAAAAAGTTAAACCATTTATAATTTATTTTATTTCCGTAACGTCTATTGTAGAGTAACAAATTTGTTTTAAATTTGAGTGGTTAATTAACAGTAGCCTATAATAACCCTCCTGCAAACAACAATATATTGTATTTGAATTTTTTTTTTTTTACAGATAAAACGGAATAAACTGGTTCTTAATCCCTTATAGACCTAGGCCTATATATCACCA